GCTACCTCCTTCTTAGCCTCTTCCAGAGCACCAGCCTTGGCACGGTAATTCACCAGGGAAGTAGCACTTTTAAAGTCAAATGCAACGCAACACTCTTACCTAATCGCCTCTAAAAGAGCGATAAGTCCTCAAAGTTGCTCCAACGCAACACTTCTACCTTATCGACTCTCGTCAATAGAGCGATAAGTCCTCAAAGTTGCTCCAAATGCAACACTTCTAACTTATCGACTCTCGTCAATAGAGCGATAGGTCCCCAAAGTTGCATCAATCGCAACACTTTTCACTTGTCGACTCTTAACAATAGAGCGACGGAACCACAAAGCGTGCCACGTTAATATTGCATTCCTGGCACTTACAGGATTCTTCTAGTATTTAAGGCAAAAGCATAATACAAGAGGAATAAATAGTTGTTGTCGCAATATCAAACTGGTATTTCATTGTTCCATGTCAAAACACGATATGAAAAAGAAACAATGAAAAGCCAAACGGCAGCACTACCTTTATTCAAAGGAAAACAAGGTGACCTAAGATAAGTGTTGTTCCTACCAAAATAACGATACAAAAGCAAGTTCATCAATTCATCAGATTAAATGAAGCTAGCTGAGTCTTAATGTCAGAAAGTTTTTCTTCATGGTCAGCCCGAACCAGCGTCTCGGCCCGTTTCCGAAGCTCGTCCGCGCTAGACAGCATAGCAGCCACCTCCTTCTTAGCCTCCTCCAGGGCATTAACTTTTGCACGGTAATTTACCAGAGAAGTAGCACTTTTGACGTTGAGTTCAGTGACGATGACTTCTTCTCGTTGGAATTGAGCTTTCATTCTAGTCAACTCTGCTTCAGCGACAATGATCTTCTCTCGTAAATTCTCTAAAGAAGTGTTGGAGAGTGCTAGCTCAGCCTGTTTTTGAGCATGCAGCTGCTGCAGATGTTCCACCTCGACCTCTTGTTCCGCTATATGACGTCGAGCGACTTCATACTTATTGACTTCCTCGGCCCTGATATCCTCGAATGTGGATGCAATCTGTGCCTGGATATCAGCACGACCCAAAGCCTCCAAGAACCTTAGTTGTGCCTCTAGGCGCGAGATGGCTTCTGAGCAACGCTGAACAGTATCGGTATCACCCACGAACTTGAGGTTGTTTAAACTATTTGTGAGCATAGGTTTGAAGGTTTCAAAAGTATCTCGGCCAGCCAATACAACCTCAATCACTTTCTTAGTGAGACTGCCTAAATAGTCAAGCGGAATCTTGAGAAAATCTGGCACGTCCGTGGGACTCGAAACAGCTATCGGAGACGGCACAGAAACTTCCGTAGATACAGAGCCGAGTAGAAGACCAGCAGGTGATTTTGGTGTAGTGGCTTGAGAAGGAATGCCAATATCCAGTTGAGATGGACTTGATTGCAGAACCATCAGTTCCCCCATGATAGATGACCTTGGCACGTCTACAACTTCCGTAGAGGCTAAAGAAATTGTCAATAAAGTCGTCGGTGGAAGAGCCGTCGTCGAGGTCTCCAAGCGAGGTGGCTCTGACACTTGAGCAGGCGCTAGCATAAGCTGTTGTGTCGAAGGAGGGGTGACAGTACTCACCTCATGAATCATAGGATCTGTATGAGGAAATTGTTTAAATACAGATCAAGATTAGTCACAAGTCGAAACAAATGACACTTACCATTAAGAGGTAGAGGAATGTAGGCTGACGCTTTGTTGGAAAAAAATGGTGGTGGAATATCCCAGTCATCGAGATCATCACTGTCATCACCCAGGTTGTCATTGCTCCCGTCATTCCCACTTTGGTCGCCTTCATCACCTGTGGCATCTGCACCTTCACTGTGATCCATAGGTTCCTCTTCGCCTACAGGGGGAAATGCTGGCGCATCTTCGGCGACAGTAGGCTTTGCTATGATTCCAGTAGTAGGGCTAGGCTGTGAGTCACCTACAATTGGCAATAACACAGAAGTAGAAGGAGATTTATCCGTTGCTAAGCCTTGCTGGACAGCCTCTAGAGGTTCTTGGGCAGGAACTATGTCTTCTTCAACATGAGAGGTAGTGGAGGCAGTATCATGAAGCGTGTCTTCGGGAACAAACTCTGCGCCTCCTGCAAAAGATTCATCTCCACGCTCCTCTTCATGCAATGAATGAGCAGAAGAATCATGGCCTCCTAGAGCAGGACCAACTGTGGGGAGACCAGGCTGAGGCGAGAGTTCCATGGCAGTCGATTCTTGTTCTTCTTCTTCGGTACGCCACGCTTTCTGAGCGTCCGACATAAGTTTGGAAGCAGGGGGTTCGAGCGTTAACTTTCGACGAGCTCTTTTGTCATACTTGGCTTCTTCGACCGGCCCTATCGCCCTTTTTCCAGTGGCACTCTGACTCTGAGTCTGAACTCTTGAAGTTTCCACCTCGTGAGTATCCGGCATCCTGATCTCTTCCGGAGCTCGCTCTGGTGATTGCTGCCGTTCATCCTCTGGAATTAACTTCTCATACGATAAATATTTCTTAGCACCACGGGCGCAGAATCTTTTGGCACTCTTTTTCGAAGCATACCACTTGCGGATGGCCTTCAAACAAGAAGTATTCATATTGTAGGCTGAAACCTGAGAAGCGGCCTGGTACCAGGTACAGAAGCTCAGAGAGGTACGAGCATTGGGCGTCTTATGTGGCAGTCGGAATTTTGCTCCGGTACAACCAGCCACTGAGTAGTACCAAGCTCTTGCTCCTTCATACACATTACCTGTGTACGCAAGAGTAGGGTTTGGGTTCCCAACATAGAGCTGATCATAGCCAAATTGCCGAGAAAAGCGATAAGACTGATATGGTTCAATAAAGCATTTCCTCCCTTGTCGAAAAATAAGATAGCCCGGACGAATGTGTATGAGCCACCAAAAGGCACCCCTGCTAAGCATGGTGAAAGAATTCGGTCCCGGAGAGTCCTGATGAAGTTCTCCATACGCGCCGCCCTCGAAAGCAGGAAACTTGCAAGCAATCTCGTAATTATAATCCCGTCTTAAAATTTCACGGAATTTAACTTGGTACCAACCAGCCTATTCAGAGGTTTCTAATTGTTGAACAAGAGGAGTCGAGGTGCCACTTAACTCAGGAGTCGTCATTATCAGAGGGCAGTGCAGCACAAACCAAGATACCAAATAAATGTACGGCATCGGCACCCGAGGGGTTGGGGTCTGAATGATAGTCTTCCCATCGGAATCCACTTCCTTGACAGCAATAAACTCGGAAGATAGTTCCCGCAAGCCACTTTGTAAGCAGCATACCATGGCTGAAAGAAGATTCAAGGGCCGTCCATAGGCCAATAGAACAGCAGGGTATAAGACCTCTATTGTAATAGCGTCCACCGGTCTTGTGGGTACCACGCAACGCTTCAACCAAAGAGTCAGAAAACCAGCAAACAAAGCCATGTCAGAGATAGGGACTTCTGCCTGATAGTGGAAGCTTTCGAACGTGGTGAACGCTGGGAAGACATCCTCCTCGGCCTCGCAAGTATATTGAGAGGTTGCATCATTGATGCGTTCCGTGATCTCCTCGAGAATGCTGGCCGCTAAGCGAGTCACATCCGCTTCTTTGTCCCATAGATTGCGGAAAAGATACTCCGACCACTGTCCTTGTTTTACACCGCTTGCTCTTTTCCCAGTAATTTGAGCACATATCTGGAAATGGCACATCAATTCCCAGTAAGTGTTGTAGATTTCGGGAGCACCATTTTTCAAGATCTCCAACTCCCTACTTCCGGGAACAAATTCCTCATAAGGCAGTTCTCCAAAGGACAATCCAGAAATTTTAAACATTTCGTGGAGAGCGAAGCCCAGTTCACCAACTGGGGTGAAAAAGGTGTCGGTGTGAGGGTTGTAGAATTCCAGCATAGCAAAGAGTCCACTGTAATTCGGAGAAATGCCATATCGAGTGGCCATTATTGGAACTCTCAAATCTGAAATCCTCAAAGGTTCTTCCAGTTCCTCCAAAACGAAATTTATCATACAGGCCCACCAGTCCGCATCACTAGAGTGAACCCAAGTAGGGGCCCTGAAATCCCGAGCAGGGAACTCTCCTTTAACAGAAATAAATTTTCTAATGAACACCTCCGCCAATTTAGCAGGCTCTCCGACAAGATGCTCTTTTTGGAATAAACCTGGCTTTTAGCAGGCTCTCCGACAAGATGCTCTTTTTGGAATAAACCTGGCTTCAAAGCCATAAAATTATTGAAACCGGCCGGATGTGTGCCTCGATGAGTGATGTGCCCTGTGGCGACACCTCCTTGGTCCTGAACGAGTTCCCAATTCATCGACCGCGGGATAGAAGCGCACTGATAATAAGAGATCGGCCACATCCGCTCCAAATTGGGAAGGAAAAGACGACGGTTATTGACGACCTTCAGTGATACTCGCTTGGGGTCCATTTTTACAGAATCCCCGAATAGGAAGGATGGCTTCTTTAAAATCTCACGCTCCGCAGTTTCAAATTTAGCATCCGTAACCAAGGATCTAAGAGTCTCGGGGAAGGCTTGGGTGATGAGCTTCGACCGTTCTTTGTGGGTATTCTGAAATACTGGATACTCGAAGGCAAAGCTGAAGACCGTATTTTTCTCCGCACCTCCCGCATGACCGAAGTAGTGGTTGAAAGAAAGAGGCTCGTTAGAGTAGCGTACTGCAAATAAAAAAATTAGTCAGAAGAAGTCTAACTCAAGAATGCAAGGTTCATACCTGCCTCCAGATCATTAAATGCAGAGCCTCAACCCGCATCTAAATTTTTGAACGCAAAGTTTAGACCTGCGTTCGGATTCTTGAACGCAGGGTCTTAACCCACATCTAAAAATTTTGAAAGTAAGGTTCAGACCTGCGTTCGGAGTCTTGAACGCAGGGTCTCAACCTATACCCAAGATTTTGAACGCAGGGTCTGAACCTGTGTTGAAATTTTATGAACGATGGAGCTAGCCATGCGTTTTCTTAAAATTGATTACTAGCTCAGAATTATCTCTTGAGCTTAAATACAGATCGTCAATCAGGGGTTGGGGATGAGAGACCTGTCAAACCAATTTCCAATGGTTCAACCTTACCATTAGTTGAAGAAACCAGCGACGAAGAGACCTGTCAAACCAATTTCCAATGGTTCAACCTTACCATTAGTTGAAGAAACCAGCGACGAAGGCGTGGGGATTTGATCATCACCGGAGGCTCTAGCCGAAGAAGCGTGCTGAGCTGGAGCAATCTTCGGTTTAGAAGTAGTTTTCTTCTTGGGGCCCATGGCAACCGTGGCGAGGAAGACGAAGATGGGTGAAGTATTTAGGAGCGAATCCTTTCCCCCGTTGAAGTGCCGGAGAAGATGAACATGAGCCCTGTTAAGAAATCAAGTAAGAAGGGGAAAAGTCGAATGACTTTTTGATTTGACCGTAGTGGCCCATTTATAAACAGCTGTAGCTGTCAAATCAGAGCGGGATTTTAGGCAAAATCTTACCTGAAACGTGATTCTCGCGTTTTCAAAAAAAGAAGGGGCTTCAGCTTCCGAACGCACCCTCACGTTCAAACAGTAGAACGCATGATTTGGACATGCGTTCTGATGACCGACCTCAGCCTATCACATAAATAACCCTTTCAAAGGGGTTAATATTCCAAGTAATGGCGATATGATCAAGAGAGAAGATAAAGTGAATCCCTCTGAGGCCGTCTTCCTGACTAAGCTGGGGATAAAGTCCTTTTTATACAGGCTTGTGGTTCTCTCCACCTATGAGGATAAATTTTTCATAAACCCAGAAATGCCCAGCTTCCCTGAAGATGACGAACTTAGTCAAACAAGCTAAAGCACAAGTCATTACGGATGAACCAAAAACGAATGATGAGGTCAACGAAGACGCTCCACTCAATCTATGGTGAGGCGCATTCGATCAACAAAATTTTTGGGTTCCAAAGTGTTTCGAAAATTCGTCCCAGTCAACCGCGAACTTTTGAAAACTTTGGAGGGGGTTCTGTGGGCTGTCTAAAAATAATAATAGATAGCTGATCCCCCATCAAACACCGACGATAGAAGTTACAATCTGACGACTTCCAGAAGGCTACAATTTGAAGACTTTCACATATCAAAGAGCTAATTACAAAACGACAGTCTTTAGCAATACTCTGACAGAAAGGGATTACAAATCAACGATCTCTTCGTACCATCGTCAAGATACAACACCAATTCAATCACCTACGCAGCTTCAACCGCTGCAAACAAAGATACAGCTGCTTATGTGAGATGATTGATCTTGATGGCTGCGACAACAACATGACTAATATTATATTAGCAACTATTAGAGATGCTGATGAGAAGTGTAATGATATTCGACACACTGAGGAGCACGGGGTTAAACCATGCAAAGAAATCTTAGTGGAGATCGTGACCTGCAGTTGATAGAGCGTTATTGAGATGCCTCAATTGTCATAAATGGCCTAAATAGGACCTTCTTGAATGGTCATTGGTGTCATCCATATATAAAGACAGACAAAACGCAGCTCAAATCAGCCCCTGAACGCAGCTCCAACCGACGTCGAACGCAGTTCTATACTGCTACCAAACGCACCTCCAAACATCGAAGAACGCAGCTCATCATCGCTGCACAACGCAGCTCATCATCGCTGCACAACGCAGCTCATCATCGCTGCCCAACGCAGCTCATTATCGCTGCCCAACGCAGCTCATCATCGCTGCACAACGCAGCTCGATATCGCTGCAGAATGCACTTCAAGATGCTGCGTTCTGACCTGTTCAAACACGATCAATGCAGTTTCGAAAACCGCTCTTTACAACCGATTAATAAGGCAACTAAACCTATCATTTAGGAGCGGATTAAGGGGTCAGTTACACCCCTAATCCCCCTATAAATATCAACAAACTCAACTGAGTTCGGGGCGAGACTTTGGGAGATCCGATCTTGACCACTTGGAGAGAATCTTTCGATCAGATTTTCCAGAATCAGAGAAAGAGGATTGACTCCTTACACAGTCTGGGGAATCAACAAACGGGGGAGCTCCAGACCGTCGATACTTGGCCTATTAACCGAATTATTTTCGGTTTGAACAACTCTATTACTAGAGTTTGTTGTTTGTTCTGAATCACGAAACTCGTCAAGAGTTATCAATCGGACAAAACCGTTGTTCCAGTGAGTACAGATATTCGGATCGTCAACGAGAAGCAAACTCGACGCAAGCATTCGAGGGAGGCATCTCATCGCTACCGTGAAGAACCCAGTTTTAAACAAAGAGGAGAATCAAATCCATTCTCTTCTCTTTTGTAATCAGGAATCCAAATTGTAATCGAGAGTTGAGAGAGTTGTAATCATTCTTTTTCTAAGCAGTTAGAGAGAATAAAGTCAAACGCAATTCTTTCATTCATTTTCTTATTACAAAATTTCCAACAAACAATGACAAACTCATAAAAACTTACATCTCGAATGATGCTGAAAAGGAGCATAAGACTGAACATCTGGACCTGTGACTTTACACAATAATGCACAAATAAGAAACCTACATTTCATTGTTAAAGGCAACGAATTGTCTTTCATTAAAATGTGAATATACAAGAGAAGCTTATACTATTAAGGCTTGAAATAATCTTAAGGTTTGAACAATCAGTAGGGTGTCAAACTGTATATTCTATGGAGTTTGAGAATAAATGATAGCAAATAACAACAGGGGAAATTTCTTCTAGCCCCCAATATCCTTACAAGCACCCCTCACCCCCCATAAAAAAAAAGAATTTTTCAACACTCCCAAAACCCCCAAAAGCAAAGCCACAATTCCCCGAGCCTCAAAAACACAAAACTCAAGAGTTTAAAACATTTAAAGACCATAATATCATTTCTCTCTCTCTCTCTCTCTCTCTCTTTCTCTCTTTTCATCCAACAGCGTCGACATCAGCGATCTTGACGACAGTGATGACGAGTTGCGATGGATTCAGTGTCGTCGTTCCAAAGAAAAAGGCGGGAACTCCGGCGCCTCACGGTGTAATTTTTTCCCTATTTTAACTTATACTTAAATCCGAGTGCTATATTTTTTTGTTATTTTACATATTGTTGTAATTTTTTTTTTGAAATCGATGACTTGAGATTAAAGTAGAGTCTGTAAATTTATATATTGTTGTTATTTTACTGTAATGAGTTTGTTATTAAGGTTATGAGTTGGTTGTGAAGAAATGTTACGTGTTGGTTTTGAATGTTACGAGTTGGTTGTCAAGGTTACGAGTTGGTTGTGAAGGTTATGAGTTTGTTGTGAATGTCACGAGTTGTGAACCTTGGTAAGGAGTTGATTGTGAATGTTACAAGTTGGTTGTGAAGGTTAGTTAACAACAATCACAATCAACTCATTACCGAGGTTCATAACCAACTCATAACATTCACAAACAAATCGTTGTTAGACCCTAATGCCACTAGGAAAGAACCCTAGAGGGGGAGTGGGGGTTTGAATAGGGTTTATGCTAATCTAATCCGATTTTATGCCGATTAAAACTTACTAACAAAATATCCTAGCAAATTAGAGCAAACAAGGGTAAGCAATATAGTGGATGAAATAAACAAGATGCAATAGGCGATATAAGATGAACACAAAAATAAGTACGCCAATGCAAACACAAACAAAAATATGATCACGGAGTTTGGACCTTCCGTCTTACGTCTCCGCTCCCCACTCCCGGGGAGAATCCACTACACAACCGGGTTTTTTAACGCTCACTCGAATAACATTTACACCTCACACTCGGTTTTCTAGTTCACCGAAAACTTTACAATCAACACTCTTGCAATCCCACTCTACATCCTCTAAGTGTTGGTCTCTAGCCCGTGTCTCCCTCAAGTGCTTGGATTTACAACCTCTCCCTAGGCTTTACTACCGACGCCACTCCTCTTGGGACGACCCCGTCTCTCACCACACACTCCTCTCGGCGTACAAGTGTATTACAAAGTGTATCCTCACAATTAGGCTCTCTACAACAAATGTTTGTTATCTACTATTGATGAGAACACAATGAAAACTCACACTCTAAGTCACAAACCCACAACCCTAATTTATACTATGTATGCAAATATAATAAGGTCAATGGTTGTGTGTGAACAAAGAGAAAATTAAATATAAACTCAATGTAAACACTAGCTTAATGAAGATGATAAACAATAAATAATTAAAGTAAAGCTAGTGTTGAGTTTAGAAATTATTCTCTGAAAAACAAGATGTGGAGATGGAGATTGAAGCTCAAACAATGAAGATGATCTCCTCTACTTGTGAAAACTTCTTCACAAACCAAACAATTACTAAAACAAACTTAAACCCTTGTTGAACTTTTGTAAACTTGTATAAACAATTTTATTAGGTGGTTTAGAAGTAAAATAGTATGGGGTATATATAGGATGAAGAAACAAATCCCAAAAACCAAGAAAAACTAAGCAAAAAGATAAAATAACAGAAACTAGAAAATCTAAAAAACTAGCCGTTGGAAGGCCGTCAATCGACTGATACTGTTCATCAGTCGATTGATGAGCTGATCGTTACAGGCCAGCAACATGTCATCAGTCGACTGATCAGTCATCCAATGACCTCATCAGTCGATTGGTCAGTCGGCCAAATAAGAAATAGAAACTTTTTGATATTCTAGGTGATTTTATCAATCGACTGAATACTTTTATCAGTCAACTGATAACATATTATCAGCCTGTTTTGAATAGAAAAGCAGGTTTTTAAAGTGCCTTTAAAATAGCAAATAAATTCCAAAAAATATAAAATTTTGGGAAATGTTTATAAACATGATAATAAATATGTTACAAAAAATATTTTTGGAATTGCACTTCATATTTGTGAAAACTCATCATTTTTCAAAATAGTCCAAAACATGAAAACTAAACATACTTGTTTTTGACAATTGACTTAAACACAATTTTGAAACTTTGTAAAATAATTTTATAGACTTAATGAAATGATATAAAATATTATTATGAAGTCTACAAACTAAAAACTCAATGTTATGCAAAAATGAAGTTTTGCACAATATATGCATTTGATAAATATAAAACATATAAATATGTATATGAATGTATATTTGTTTCATATCTATTAAACTAAAATAA